GAGTACAGAGAACTGCATGGGACAAGGGACTGCAGGAGGCGCAGCCACCAGGCGCTGCTGTGAGCTCTGGGGAGAGTGGCCTGGGCTGCTGCATGAGGATGTTCCCACGGGGACAGTGAGCCAAGAAGAGACTTAGGGTGCTGGGTGCACAGGAGCCACCCCACGCTGGAGCACAGGGAGATGAGGAAAGGAGGGTGCTGAAGGCAACAGTAGCCTGAGATGTTTCCTAGAGGTCATTCTGCTAGGTAGAAATGTCCTGTGACAAGTTCAGGGGTGGTGAGCTGCTATAATAAATCAAGCAAAAGAAGGTGGTGCCTGGTACTATGTGGACAATGCAGGTGGTGACCAGATCGGGTTGGGGTAGCAACAAAGACCCAGCAAATGAGGAGAACCACAGAGCCAGCTCCTTAGAAGCTAACGCAGTGTCCTGTATGCCAAGGAAAGCTGCCATGACCCTGCGATTCCTCACCACTGGGTACTGAGAGATGTCCCTAGCTGCCTCCTTTGTGTATGTTGAGACCTTCAAGAGTATTTCTAACTCCATGAGACCCCCAAGAATTGGGCACATAGTGCTTCCCACTGAGCCACCACCCACTCTCACCATCAGAGTCTTATTGATGCACTCTGGGACTGGATGGAATGTGGGGGATCTGAGGACCGGAAGCAGCACAGGGGACGGGGACAGGGGTGGCAGTGTGGCCTGGAGGCTCTGGTGTGAACATTGGCTGTGGGGATCTTGGACAAGTCATTTCCCCAGCCCTGGGCCCTGACAGGAAGAGCAATGCTGGGGCTGCCTGGAGGCCCAAGAGTGAATTGGCCTCTACCCTGCTGTGGTACGCACCTTGGTGGTGACTGTGACCCAGTGCTCTCCACTGTGGCTCTGGCCCTCTCATGAGCTGTCTTCTGTTTGGTGCTCAGTACAGTTTAAGAATAATTTAAGGGTGCCAGGGAGATGGCTCAATAGAATAAGTGCTTGCCTAACAAGTGTAAGGGCCTGAGTTCAATTCCTGGTTCCACCAAAAAAAAAAAAAAAAGGAATATTTATTTATTTATCTTTTCTTGTTTTGGCTGGCTCAGCCTGCCCTGAGGGTGGGGCTGGCTAAGCTTGCCTAAGCAGGCCCTTTGGACCACTGAGCTATCTCACTGGTCCAAGAATAATTTTATTTAAAAAGCAAACACGGGGGTATGCAGCAGTGGCATAGGGTTTGCCTCATGAGCACAAGGCCTTGGGTTTGATTCCCAATATTGACAAAGATTTCATATGCCCAATCAACTTCTTTGTACTCAGGGCTATTAACTTTAGTATTTGCATAGATTCAAGTAACTGCTGTAATCAGGATGCAGAACTGCCATCGCTTCTAGAGACAGCTTTTACAAACACCTTTATTGATAGTCCATATACTATGACCTCATCATTTAAAGTGCATTACAGGGGCCAGTAAGATGGCTCGGCCAACTAAAGTGCCTGCTTAAGTAAGCATAAGCAAATAAAGGAACATCGGTTCATCCCAGCACCACACACCTGACAGCCCTGCCCGCAGGCAGGCTGAGCCAGCCACCAAAAAAAAAGTCAACGAAGTACAGTACTGTGCAACCATCACTTCGCTAATTCCAGATCATTTCTTCACTGGAGGAAGAAACCCTCAAACTTATCAGTAGTCCCTTCCTGTTCCTGTCGGCCCAGCGCCTGGTGACAACACTTTCTCTTGCTACAAATTTGCCTGTTTTAAAAATTTCATATAAATGGAATCATATGGTATTTAGCCTTTGTGACTAGCTTTTTTTCATTTAGTGTAATGTTTTCGGAGCTCAGATGTGGAGCATGTATCCGTATTTTGTTCCTTTTAATGACCCAGTGATACCTCCTTTATGCGAAGACTGTGCATGGTGTTCACCCATTTACCACTTGACGGACACTCAGGTTGTTCCAGCTTTGCATCGTGAGCAGTGCTGGGCCCACACAGTGCTGGTGTGGCCAGGGTCTCAGTTCACATCACAAGAACCGTAATGCTGTTCGGCCATGTGGTGATTCTGTTTAGAATTCCCAGTGGCTGCCAAACTCCTTTTCACAGTGGCCATGCAGTTTGAATTTCAGTCTGCTGTCTGTGAAGGCTGTAACTGCTGCACGTCCTCCTCAGTACCTGCTGTTAGCTCTTCTCATGATCACCAAGTGGCTGCTTTGACGTAGGTTTCTCTGAAGACTAATGATAGTGAGCATGTTGCCATGTACTTCTTTGCTGCTTGTCTGTTTTCTTTCTTTTTTATATATATGTATTTTTAATAAAGTTTGTAATCCAGTGGACACACAAAACTGCGCTGAGAAAAAGTTTCATAAATTAATAAGTGTTAGGGCCTTTTGCCTCCTTGTACCTCTGGAAGCAACATGGGTCACTAGCAACTCTACTGGAGCCACCCGAGGAAATTTGGCCAGGGCTCCCGCTCTTGCCGCGTCTGCTCGAACCGACATGGTCTGATCTGGAAATACGGGCTGAACATGTGCCTCCAGTGTTTCTGTCAGTATGCAAAGGACATCGGCTTCATCAAGTTGGACTAAGTGATCTTCCTTCGATGGATTATCCAGACCATACAGATGCTCAATGAAAGAGACCATGCAAACTCTTTGTACATAAAATAAAAATTTTAAAAGATTAAAAAAAATTAGTAAGTGTTAGGAAGTTCAGAGAGGTCTAGGTCACAGGAGGGGGCTGGCCAGTCTCTGTTTTCTTTGGAGAAGTCTTTTGTCATTGGTGATTGGGTTGTGTTGTTGTTGTTATTATTATTATTACTTTCTGAGTACTGGGATTACAGGCATATGCCACCATGTCTGGCCTGCATTTTAAGAGTTTTTTATATACGTAGGTGGAAGTGCCTTCCCAGAGCCATAACTTGCAAATTGTCCCCATTCCACGGGTCATTTTTTCACTTCTTGATGATACTCTTTGAAGTGCAAAGGTTCACTTTAATCTTGTCTGATTGATTTTTTATTTCATTATTTGTAGTTTTGGTGCCATATTTGAGGAGTCATTACCTAATCCCTGGGAACAAAAGATTTAGTCCCATATGTTTTCACAAGGTTTTATGATTTTAGCTGTTACGTTTAGATGTGTGATGCACTTTGAATGAATATTTGTATATGGTCTGAGCAGGAATTCAAATTCATTCAGCTTATTCAGGATAGCTGTCATTAGACATTTGCTGAATAGACTGTTCTTTCATAATTGTATTGTTTGCACTTTGTTGAAATCCACTGACTGTAAATGTTAGTTTAGTGTGAATTCTCACTATTCCCATTGTCTGTACTTCTATCCTTATGTCAGTATCATAGTGTTCCTATTGTACTCTGTGTTAGTCTTAAAGTTAAGAAGTGTGAATTCTCCCCAATAAAGGGCTGGCCAGATAGCTCAGTGGACTAAAGCGCCTTCTTAGGCAGAGTGCAGTGGCCGGGGTTGGATCCCCAGTGTGCTATGCTGGCCCTGCCCCCGGGGGGCGCTGAGATGGTGTGGTGGCAGACACCTGTAATTCCAGCAGTGCTTGGGAGGCTGAAAACAGGAGAATCATGAGTCTGATCTATGTAGTGAGACCCTGTGGACCCTGTACCCAAAAAAAAAAAAAAAAAAAAAAATCAACCAACCCAACAAAAAACTGACTTCTCTGGTATTCTGTTTTTAAGATTGTATTGGGTATTCTGGGTGCCTCGTATTAGTATATTTGAGAATTTTAGGACCAGCTTGTCAATTTCTGCATCAAGAGCAATTGAAATTTTGATTGAGCTTCTATACAGTTTGGGGAGTATTACTGTGCTGAGTTTTCTAATACAAGAACAAGAGCTATCTTCCATTTTTTATCTTTTTTAGTTCCCCCCCACCGCCCTCTTTAGCTGTTTTCAAAATGTTGTATTTTTCAGTGTATATTTTGAACTTTTATTTATTTATTTTTTTTTGAGGGTGCCTCTATGCCGTTCAGGCTGGCCTTGAACTCACTATGTAACCACACTGGCCTCAAACTCAGCAATCCTCCTGCCTCAGTCTCCTGAGTACTGGTATTATAGGCATACACCACCATGCTTGGCTATTTATTTATTTTTTGTATTTTAGGGAAGAGTCTACAGGGTATTCAGGGTCTCACTACTAGATCGGATTCATAGTGATCTGCCTGGTTACAGCCTTTCAAGAGCTGGGATTACAGGCGCGTGCCTTCGAACCCTGTCTCATTCGGGGTCTCAGCTTGCCCTGGGGGCAGTCCCAGGGATCGAACCCTGCCCCATGCGCCTGCTTGCAGGCGCTTTAATCCGCTGAGCTATTTGGTCGGCCCTGGCTTTTAGTCTTGTACTTCTTTTGTTAAATTTTTTCTAAGTCTTTTATTCCTTTTGATGTTGCTACAGAATGCAGTCGTTTTCATTTTCCTGTTGTTTGCTTCGCATGTGTAGACACGCGCTTCACCTGTGCCTGTGGAGCCCTGGTCCTGCTCTGCAGCAGGTTCTGACGTCCCTGGGCCGCAGAAGCGACCTTGGAAGCGTTTGCAGTGGGCCAGGAGAGGCTCCTGCTGTCACCCGGGGGCAGACAGACGAGCGAGCGACAAAGCTGCCACGATGTGTCTGAAGGCAGGCAGGCTTCCCACAGCGCTGCTGGCAAGGAGGAGCCCAGCGGTCTCGCCAGGGCAGTGAGGCCGTGGGTGCTGCTCGGGCCCTCCAGCTCCCGAGCTAGCCACTGCGCCGCTTCCGCTCGGCCCTTAGCTTCTGGTGCGCCCCCTCCCTGGTCGCGACCCTGCCTCCTGACTAGCAGGACACAAGCATGTTTTCTGGTTCGGAAATGTCTCTCTCCTGCTGAGGTCTGGTTTCCTTGCTCCGTGTGGTCAGCGCATCGCGAAGGCAGGCGCGCACTGCCCACCTGAGTGAGCCAGGCTTCGCCGGGGAGGCGGCGAGCGTGGGGCAGATGTCGCAGCCCTTCTGAGTGGCCTGAGATGCCCTCCGAGAGGGCGCTCACCACCCGCCTGTTTTCCAGTGGAGACTTTCCAAAAGCTGCAGAAGGCGAAGGAGATTCTGGCGGATGAGGACAGCCGAGCGCGCTACGACCGCTGGAGGAGAAGCCGGGTGGCCGTGCCCTTCGAGCAGTGGGAAGCCCTGGCCGGCTGCATGCAAGCGGTGGGTCCTCGGGAGCGGGGGTGGGGGTGGGGGGGTGGGGGGGTGTCCTTGGGAGCGGGGCGGGGAGAGCAGGGGGCTGCCCGGGAGGGCGCGAGGGTTACGGACCCGGCTAGAAACGCTGCAGAAGACAGGAAGGGAGCAGAGTCTGCTCCCAGTGCTCACTAAGTCCTGGGAGGACGTTCGAGCAGAGGGCCTATTGCGGCCTGTGCTGCGATTACAGGTGTGCAGCACCAGGCCTGGCTTCCGTCTTTTTCTTGTTCCTATCAGTTTGTTCTCATTTCAAGGCTTACAAATCTACTAAAAAACCGGGGTCTAAATAATTGAAGAAATCTATAAATATTTCTATTGCACATTCTGGTGAAAAAACTTGTGCTTATTAGACCATTGTGTTACCTTTCTTTATGCCATTAAAAAACTACTTATCAAAATAATCATGATGGCCAGGTGTGGTGGCACATACCTGTCATCCCAGCACTTAGGAGACTGAGGCAGGAGGATCACCCCAAGTTCAAGGCCAGCCTGAGGGACATAGCAAGACACTCTCAAAACAAAATACAAAAAACAGAAACAAAAACAAAATCATTGTAAGTGCTGTGGGTGAGCAGGGCCCGGTGACATCACCCCATAGCCCCAGCTTTCTGGGAGGCCGTGGCAGGAGGATCACAATTTCATGCCAAGCCTGGCAGCTTAGTGCCTTGGCAAGACTTCTGAAATAAAAAATAATGACAGGGCAGGGGCTAGAGCCCAGAGCAGAGGCCTTGGATTCGATATCTGGTACTGCAGGAAAAAATAAACTAAGGGTCTGTGGGGTAGCTTAGTGGTAAGGTACAGGGTAAACAGATCCCTTGGTCCAGTCCTCAACACCCCAGTGTACAAATAAATAAGTCATTATAATTACTTTGTTTACATCAGTGTTTATATATTGCAGAGAAATGTAATTCTAAAGGTTTGTCTTATCTTAGGCATTATATTACTCAGATTCTTTCTGGCAGAACATTGTTTAATGACCTGAGACTCTGAATGTAGAACTCACCTTCCAGGCAGGTCTTGAGGGACACGTGGCAGTTACAGAGTGACTCATGTCTGGGGTACGGTTAAATTTCCTTAAGTTTTTGTTTTAAAAAGACTCATAGTTTGTTTATGAAAGAGCTGTTGTGCTGAGGGATGATCTTTAAAATAATGGGGTGGGTTGGGGAGATGGCTCAGTAGAATAAGCACTTCCCTGGCAAGCACAAGGACCTGAGTTCAATCCCTGGTTCTGCCAAAAATAAATAAATAAATAAATAAATAAATAAATAAATAAATAAATAAATAAAAAAGGGCAGACCAGAGCAAAACTGTCTCAGAGTGTGTGTTTAAAGCTGCTCCTCCTGCTTCCTTTGGCTCATTTTTGCATGAAGTGTGTCCTTACATGTGTTCATTGAAGGTGGGTCTGTTAATGAGATCCCAAGCACATGGTTGTGAGGATCATTTTCCTCAGAGGCCTGTGTGTCTGGGGGCACCCAGAGCCTGTACTGCACTTGCGGTGGGCTCATGGCTGGATGGGCTCAGACAAAGTGTGCTGGCCACAGTGGGGACCTGGAAGGGTGCCAGCTCTTGCCCTGCTTCCTCCATTCTCCCTGCTTCCAGCTGTCCTGAGTCGAGCCACTTCCTGCGCCAGGCCCTTCCCAGGTTGATGCTGTTTTGAGCTGGTCCTGTTCAGGACTGTGAACCACAAACCCTCCTTTTTTTTTTTTTTTCCAGAACCGGGGATTGAACCAATTTTTTAAATTTTTTTTTCTTCATATTCTTTAAGGACTTAAAGTTCAACACATCAATACTTTATGAAAAAAATATCTGTTCCACGTTATGGCTAAGATGTTTGATATTTAGACAGGGTGAACCAAACTGCATATGTTGCAGGGTAATAATAAGCTTCTCTTCTGGAAGGTTAACAACCTAAGTTTGCAGATCAAAAATTGGAGCAAAGGAAGGGCTGCAAGGTCAGCCAACATTTTGGCCCTAGCCTTTCAAGGTCAGTGAAGACTGAGGACATAGGAGAACCTGTACTGTTGGGGGCCGGGGAATTGGCTCAGTAGAATAAGCGCTTCCCTGGCAAGCACAAGGGCCTGAGTTCAATCCCTGGTTCCGCCAAAAAAAAAAAAAAAAAAGAAAGGGAAAAAAAAAAACAAAAGAGAGAGAGAGAGAACCTGTACTGTTAACATGTAACTCAGTTGTGCCCCGAATTTTCTGATCAAGGAGATTATGGAGCCACAGAGGAATGTGATTGATGATGCATAGTGTGCCTAAGGAGAGTCACATGGAGAGAAAACATTCTCTCAGGCTTTCACAGAAAGCAAATTGGTCAGGCAATGGCTATGACTCATCAACATGGTTGACACTGACAAAAGATCTACAAAGTGAGGTACAGGGCTACAGGATAAATCTTGAGTGGATTTGATTGACCTTATCACATATAAAAGTTACATTTCTTGTTATATAGGTCTTGCTTTGTCTTGGTCTTAACCATCCAGCAGAAAAGTATAAAAATGAGGTATATAAAGTAAAACCATATTAATATGCTGAGCTGTGAAACGCTCAAGTCAACAACTTCTGTGGATAACCCACTACTATTGTAGACTGCTGGACTGTGTTGGATTGTTTTGCTGAATTCAAGCACCTATAATATTTAGATGCCAATGGAATACCCATCTCTGACAGGACTAAACAAAAAAAGGGGGTTACAAAGGAAGGACCATTTTGTATCTGTATATACAGAATAGTTAGGATAGGTATACAGCTACTTTCACTTAACTCAATGAGAATAAAGACTTGTACTAATAGTGTTTGGTCAGGATATCCTGCCTACTTCTTGTACTGTGGATAAACACTAAGAAGATAACAGTGTACAATGTATTAATTATTGAAAATGTCCTATTAATCCAGCTTTGAAACTGTCTCATCCATATTTGTTTCTCAATGAAATAAAATAATAAAAAAATAAAGGAACTACCTGAGAACACCGTGAGGGAAGTATGTAAGCCTGGGTACATGAATAACTCTTAATTAAAAAAAAAAAAGAACTGGGGATTGAACTCAGGCCCTTGTGCTTGCCAGGCAGGCACTTACTCTACTGAGCCATCTCCCCGGCCCCAAACCCTCCTTGAAGTTGCAGATGTTACATATTTTGTCTCAGCAGGGGAAAGTGACTGAGCAGGTGTGATTACTGAACATATGTACAAAGTAGCTACAGGGACTTTTTTCAGATAATACCATCCTGACCTCACATATTTGGAAATATACCTGTTTCTTTTCACTGTGTAAATCCATACTTGTTGGTCTTGGCTAAATAAACGCTGTCTCATCAGCTCTGCATGTTTCCAGTCTCCCCAGTAGGGTACACTGCAATTGTGACTGAATTAGTGAATCTTGCCTTCAGATTTGTAGCCCAGCTTTTCTTGATCCAACTCTACTGTCACTTAATTTTTAACCACTAAATCAAGTTAACCATGGATTGAAAAAATTTCTCAAAATCTCTAATTTATATTTCCACTGTCTTTCCATTTAATACTAATTTCCTGTCTCTAAACACATTATTTCTGCTTTGAGTTTAGCTTAGCTATGACTGTGTGAGGTCATAGGTAACACAGCAATAATGACAATTAGATCTTGCTGGCCTCATCTGTCATCAGCAAAGTTGCAGCAGGATGCTGAGCTTGCATTTCATTTCAGATTTGTTTTTATTAGTGGCACAAAAATGAGGTGCATCTCTTTTTTTTAACATATTTGGTACAGGGTCTCACTTCACAGCTCAGACTCGGAGTGATCCTTCTGTTTTCAGTCTCCCCATTGCTGGGATTACAGGCGTGCACCAGTGTGCCCTGTCTCAGTAGCTAGCTCAGTGTGCTCTGGGGTGGGGCTGGTGCTGCATGTGATGCCAGGGATAGACCTCCTGGTCTCTGCATTTGCCTAAGCAGGTGCTTGGTCTGCTGAGCTATCTTCCTGGCCCTAAGGTGTAACATTCAGATTGTTTTCTCACTGTATTTCATTTGTTTATCCTTTACCTTCATACTTTGGTGAAGTCAGGTATGTTTATCCTATCTAGCATTGTTGTTCACCTAATAAAGCATTGTCTATCTTTAGATAACATGACCTTTTAAGGCTTGGGACATGCCATTCTGACAGCAAGATGACTGTAACCTTATGATTTGATTTTCAGATGATGTTTGTCTAAAACACACCCAACACGCCCCACATGTTCATTTGCCCTGCACATTTATAGACTGTTAAATCTGAGTAGATCTCCTGATAGAAACCATTATGAAGGGCTCTGAGCAAGGTTTGTCTTAACCAGCTGGCCTTCATGTTTTCTCGTGACTTTCCCCAAGGCCAGGGCTGAGTCTCTGGTCCCACTGAGCCTGTAATGGTGGGTGAAGAAGCCCTGAAGGCTTCAAAGGACAAGACAAAATCGCAGCTAAAGACACCTGGCTCCAGCCTCTATTAACTAGGTAAAGACTGTAGCCAGGCATCTCTCTGGTGGAGGCCTTCCTGGAGCTAACACAGTTCTGCTAATTTAATGTAATGTATTACTTGGAGAAGCCCTTGAAGGGACTCCCAAGTTCTGCCCAGATTCCTGCATCTTCTTCAGTATTCCACTCCACTCCTTTTTTGGAAAAGCCAATAAATACAGGCAGAGAAGTTCTTGATCTAAAACCCCAGAAATTCTTAAATTCTGTGAAAGGAGTTTTGACCTGGACCCTGAAGTCATACCACTTGTCTCACTTATTTAAGTCTTTGCCATCCACTGGTTTGGGAGATTGCAGGCCTGAGCAGTTTACAGTAACTAAGGGATATTTATTAACCCAATACTCTCTCCTTCACACCATTAATGGTTTTTATTTAAGTGGTAGAATGGAAAGGAAACTTTGGTTGGGAGCAGCAGAGTCCCAGCCTGAAGGCAGGACAGGTCACCCTAGCAGTGCCACATCCAGGCATTGGCCCAGTATCTCCTTGGGTAGACT